TTACCAGAGTGTTTGCTTATTCACTGGTGAGTACCACATTGCTTTAAATACAGATAAATTAAATTTGTTTTGCTTTGTAATGCTGGAGATTGAACTCAGGGCCTCTGATGTTAGGCAAGCCCTCTGCTGCTGAGCTACATCCCATCTTATACTCTGAATTTTAGTCTCAGATGCTGATAGATGACTGATTATGTGCTCAGTTTTAGACTGTTGCTTGTTTGATATATACTTTGTAGTTTGAAGTAAATGTTTGAAGTAAAGTATGCCATTTGAAGTTTGCCATTTGAAGTAAAGTATGCCATTTGAAGTTTGAAGTAAAGTATGCCATTTGAATATACAAAGTATATAACCCAGTGGTTGGCACACAACAGGCTGTATTTGTTTCCTCTTGTTGTAAAAAATTGCTATAAACTTGTAACTTCAGCAACATGTTTCTTTTTTGGTTGGTCATGGGGCTACAACTGTGTTATGAGTCCCTCAGCTCTTCAGCTCAAGGCTAGCGGTCTACCACTTGAGCCACAGTGCCACTTCCCTTTTCTGATGGTTTATTGGAGATAAGAGTTTCACAGCTTTACCTGCCCAGCCTGGCTTTGAACTGAGATGCTCAGATCTCAGCCTCCTTAGTAGCTAGGATTACAGGTGTAAGCCACCAGCACCCGGCTACCTGTTTCATTTTCTAGTCAGGGAGGTTAGAAGTCCTCCAAAAAAGATATTATCTGGGCTATGTTCTTCCTGGAGGATGTGAAGGACACTTCTTTTTGTCTTTTCAGTTTCTACTGACTCCCACTTTTTTAAAAGAAAATTCACTACTTTATTCATATTATTCAGTAGTTTTTAGTGTAGTGTGCATCCAGCACCACTAATTCTAGGAACTCCATCTCTCGTGATGTTTATATTTTAAACACACAGACACACACATATGCATGTGTGTATTTTATGTTGTGTGTATTTTATGTATACAGTGTGATGTTTTGATATATACATTGTAAAATTATTAAAATGACCTAGGTAATATATTCATTTTCGCATGTACTATTTTTGTTGTAATAACATTTAAGATCTAGGGGCTGGGAAGGTGGCTCAGTGGTAGAGCGCTTGCCTTGCATGCATGAGGCCCTGGGTTTGATTCCTCAGCACCACATAAGCAAAAAGAAAAAAGCTGGAAGTGGCGTTCTGGCTCAAGTGGTAGAGCACTAGCCTTGAGCTGAAGAGCTGAGGGACAGCACCCAGGCCTAGAGTTCAGGCCCCACGACCGGACGCAAAAAAAAAAAAAAAACATTTAAGATCTACTTAGTTGGTTTCTCCAGCTATAGACACCAATGTTGCACAGCCGATCTCCCGAACATACTCATTTTGTAACTAAAAAGTTATATCCTTTGACAGTCTCCTCAATCTCCTATTTTCTGGTAATCACCAGTCTATTCTATGTTACTTTAAGTTCAGTTCTTAGATTTCACCTGTGATTCAGAACTGCTATTCTGAGCCTGTAATGTCTTTCAGGTTTGACTGTTGTTGCAAATGCAGACTTCCATTTTTTTAGAATAAATAGTTTTCCTTTGTATGTATATACAACCACATTTTCTTTATCAAATTATCTATCAACTTAGACTGATTTCATATCTGTCCTATTGCCAGTTAGTGCTGCAATAAACATGGAATACATGAGTATTCTGTATTTGGCATACTGTTTTAAGTTCCTTTGGATATATGTAGAAGTGGGATTGCTAGATCATGTAGTAATTGTGTTTGCAGATATTTACTAAAGAAGAATAGAGGCATCCATTTGAATGCTTGTAGCAGCAGTACTTATAATGGCAGTAAAACTGGAAATAGTCCAAATACCCATCAGCTGATGAGTCAGTAAATGAATTGTAGTGTACTCATGTAATGGAGCACTACTCTGAGTCAAAAGGAACAATGTAGTCATACAGTATGTACACCGGTGTGGGTGAAACATTGTACTGCAAGAAGACTGAGCACCTAAAGTTACAAAATCTCAGTGGGATTTATGTAACATTACTGAACTGTACACTAGAATGATTACATGCTAAATGTCACTGATTTTTTCTTGATTTTTAAAAAAGCTGATATATGATATTCTAGAAAAGGAAAATTTAAATGAAACACCCAGAGGTTGTGAAGTCAAACACCCAGAGGTTGTCGGTTTTCAAAGAGAACTTAAAAGAATGTACAGAAACTTTTAGGGTGATGGAAACGTTCTAAATGTAGTGATAATTATGTCATAGGTTAAATTTATTAATTCACACTCTTAATTTTGGTGAGTTTTATTTATATAAAGCTGATATATGAAACCAAGAGAAAAATGTGAGGAACTTGATGCTAAAAAAAAAAAATCTAGCCAGGCTGGGTGTCTGTGGCTTACACCTTTAATCCTAGCCACTCAGGAGGCTGAGATCTTGAGGATCGTGGTTCAAAGCCGGTCCAGGCAGGAAAGTCTGTGAATCTATCTCCAATGAACCACCAGAAAACCAGAAGTGAAGCTGTGGCTCAAAGTGGTGTAGCATTAGCCTTGTGCAGAAAAGTGCAGGGACAGTGCCCAGGCCCCGAGTTCAAATACCACAAATGACCAAAGGTGGGGAGATCTACCTGGGCATGGTGACTCAAGTCGTTAATCCTAGCTATTTGGGAGGTGGAGATTGGGGAATTGTGCCTAGAGGCCAGTTTAGGCTTAAAAACTTGTGAGGCTCCATTTCAGCCAGTGGCTGGGTGTGGTGGTATGTGACGGCTATCCAAGCTGTGAGGACAGTAGTTTTTGTGCGGTGGCACCTACCTAACATCTCTAAGGGCAGTGGGAAGCAGGAGTAAGGGATCATAGGCCATGTTGGCCTGGACATAAATGAAACAGACTTCTTAAAAATAACCAATGCATAAAGGGTCTGAGTTGAATCCTTGATACAGCAAAAGAGAGAGGGAGGGAAGGAGGGAGGGAGGGAGAGATGGAGGGAAGGAGGCAGGCAGGCAGGCAAGAAGGCAAAAATTACTCTAGTAGATTCACAGAGAGAGGATTTTTCTCTGCCGTGGTATAAATCTTGGACGCCAGTTCATAACTCATTAGAGAGGAATACATTATCTTTCCAACCCTAATTAGGTTGCATAAACATACCTACTGTCTACACACAATACACAGTGCATTTAATGTCCACAAAATTAATTGAAATTTGTCTTAATGAGACATTATAACCCTATTCCCAGAGGCAGAAAAAAGACTGGGCTGTTAATTGCCATACAGTTGCATATTTGATAGCACTTATTTTTGCTATAAGAATTTCTAAGTAAGGATAGTACAAGTGCCACATCTGTATCTTTGCATTATGGCCTCTCCCTAATTCTAGACAGATCCATGGCAACACTTGTCTCAAGTAGTTGACATTATTATTACCTGTTTCTCAGCAATTTCTCCTTTGGACTCTGTTTTCTTGATTTTCCTCCTTCCACAGACATGATTTCATTCCATCTGAGGCTGATCTATCTTTGTTCTTAGTCCCTTATCAGACACAGCCTATTGTCCTTCAAGGATATCTTACCTTTTCTATACTTAATTCATTCTGATGCATTTCACATCTTTTGTTTTGAGTTTTCTGTTAAGGCTTGTCTCTGGTTTCAGCTTTTTCTGGGATGTTCTCATCACTCCTGTTGACAGATTTCTTCCTCTTCCATTTGAGCCTTTCTCCCCTTCTCAGTCTTTGAATTTGTTCTGCCATTGTTTTCTTATCAGAGTTAACGCTTGAAGTTCTGTCATTCCGCCCGCGAGGGAGAGGCCCCCCCTGTTTAATTGCTTGGAGGACCTTTTTTGTTTTGTTTTGTTTTCCAGTCATGGGGCCTGAACTCTGGGCCTGGGCGCTGTCCCTCAGCTCTTCAGCTCAAGGCTAGCGCTCTACCACTTGAGCCACAGAACCACTTCCCTTTTTTGTTTTCTGTGATAGCTCCTTCTGTCTTTTTATACTACTTCAGTCTTGTTGGAAGGCATCTCATGGCATATAAAACATTCTTGAGTGAAAAAGCTGTTGGTCAGGATGGCCATTCAGGGAGGCCTTGGACTCCGAATGCATGCCTCAGGGTCTGACCACAGCGCTTGAATGCTCTTAGAGCATACTTCTAGAGATTTTGTTTGCCTCCTTGTATGTGTTAGATGTCACCTTTGCTGCCACATTCTCTGCTTTTTCAACTTCAGCTTTGCCTTGTCCTGCAGTTATAATACTTGGTTATAATACTTTGGAGTTACTTAAGCTTTGACCCTTATGTCTACTTATTCATCATGCTAATTAATTTCTATACTGAAGAGCAAAAATAAAGTGCCTGTTACAGAACTTAGGTGTCGAATTCCTGTATTGAAAACTGAATATGTTTGTTTTTGAGTTAAAAAAATATGTTATTGTTCTTATCTTTTAAATCATGAATTACCCCTAGTGACCTGTGCTGTTAGTATCTATTGTGGGAGAAGTTACTTTGTAGGCTTAATTGCAGAGTTAAATAAATGTATAAATTTTGTTAATCAGAGAGATTGATGAAATATAAGTTACTTACTTACCCTGCTCTCCCCCTATTTCCTTTCTCCCTCCTTTCTGAGGGTTGAGCCTAGGACTGCTTCCATGTTAAGCTACACCACAATCTCCCTTGTTCCTTCTGAATTGAATTCTTTATTAGAATTGAATTCTCTTTGAACATCCTATTTATACTCATGAAATATGGTCATAACAGGTGAAATATCTGCCTCAGAAGTGGGTAGGGTATTTAAGGTATTTCAATTGTCTTTTCATCAGTGAAAAATTTATTAAAGACATCTTAGTGAACATTTCATGAATTTAAAATAAGCTCTTATTTTCCTTTAATAAAGTTGAAATAATGTTCTCAGACCCATAAAAGAATTAAAGCTATTGCCAGGTTTGGAATGAAGAGGCCAGAATTAGAAGTATTGATATTTCTGAATCATAATATAATGCCAAATTTATTTACATTTTCTTTTGTCTTTGGCCTTCTAGAGGGGTGTTTGATGCTTCCCTCAAAATGGCGGGCTTCTATGGATTGTACACCTGGCTGACTCATACTATATTTGGCATCAACATTGTCTTCATTCCATCAGGTAACAATGGTAACTTCATTGTCCTTTATTTAAATTAGGCCATTTTATGTTAGGAAATGCCAGCTTCCTCAAATATAGTCTAGATATTTAGTCTAGATTAGGAGTAGAAATAGTTTTTACTATATTCTTGGTAGCTGGAACCAGACCAGGTACAAGAAAGCAATGCTAGTGTATTTGTTAAATGAATGCTCTAGAATTTGGCACATAATTGGCCCAGGGTAAATGAATTGGAAAGGGAACAGTGTGTTGCCAAAATACCTTTTATCACATAAGAGATAGTATCCCAGGGGTAATATGTTGTGTGTGAAAGCAGTAAGCTGAACATATATACCCAAACCTGCTATGATCTGCTTTCATAGTGATATCCCCATTCCATAAGACCAGTTGGTAAATAAATATCTTGCTTTTTTTTTTTAATGTTGTCCACCTTTTCTTCCTTTTGTTCTGTTGCTTGTTTTTCTAAATATCTCTGCCTTCCATTTACCTTTACCATCACTCATCTACTTTTATCTTTTCCTCCTTCTTATTTCCTTTTTCTTTTTGATGGCTCTGTGGTTTGAACTAAGGGTCTCATACTGCTCACTCATAGTGTTTCTTCCACATGAGCCATGACCCCAGCCTTTTTTGCTTTGGTTACTTTTGAGATAGGTTCTCACATTTTTGTCTAGGCTGACTTGTCTTTGCCTCCTGCGTAGATGAAGTGACAGGCATGCAACCCACCATGCTTGGCTTGCTCTTTTTTTTTTTTTTTTTTGGAGATGGAGTCTTAATATATGCCTGAGTTGGCCTTGAGTCCTAATCCTCCTGATGTCTGCTTCCTTAATAGTGGGGATTACAGGCTTGAGCCACTGTGCCTGGCTTCCTCTTCTTTATGTTCCCAAATGCATTCATATTCTTTCCCACTTTAGTTGTTCATTCACCTAACCTCTGACATGAAAGCCCCTGGAAAACATGTGAAGGTTATTTTGTTTTTGGAAAGCAACTTTAATTATGATAGTAAAACCACTGTTTTGTCTTTCTTTTTTAATTATTGTAATGGTGATGTACAGAGGGATTACAGTGTCACCCTTTCCCTTGCTCTCTCTCAGTTTTTTCCTCCTGTCCCACGCACAAGTTGTATAGTTCCTTTTCAACATAGTATCTAGTGAGTATCACTATTCCATTTGTTCACCCTTTATTCTACCATTTCTATGCCACCTCTTTCCCTCCCAAAGACAGATAAATTTACAAAAGGAAAAGAAAACAAAAACAGCAACAAAGAAAAAAAACCTTCTTGTTTCCATTTCTTGGAATTCACTCCAATATATATTATTTTATTATATGATCAGATGCACCTAGCTATTGTACCTCTTTGATCCTCTCCTAAGAATATCTGTGGCGGTTATTTTAGAACTTTCTGTGAACTGGCAACAGGATAGTATAGTTCTTGTTGTATAGATGAGAATCCAAACATTTCCAAGGTCATACACATGGTTAATATTTGGACCAGACCTAAGTTCATGCCTGCTTGACTTTCAATCTGGAGGGAAACCAGATAGATCAAGGGGAGGGTGGCGGGAGGAGAAAACACTTGGGTGTTCATTGCTGAAAGCTTTTTTTGTTTTTGTTTGTTTATTTTTGTCATTTACTAGAAACAAAGTATAAATTCATCTCTGAGGTTTAGAAACTAATTTTTGGTTTGGCCTTGGAATCAGTACAGTTTTAGACATGCTGTATTACTATAAGACTATTATTAACTAATCATTGATTCAGAAAAATAGCTGCAGGACACTAAGATATTATTACATAAGAACAGATTCATAAAATAGATATACATGTGAGAAGGATTTCTGATAAAAAGTTGTAAAGTTTTAGACCTTCATTTGACCAGAACCCAGCTAGAAAGGGTATATCATTCTTCTGAAAATAGAGTCTGTGAATATTTAATTGTTTGGGAGGATATTTTTTAAGAGGGAGCAGATAGTGCTTAGATTTTGCTGTTGTCTTCCTGTTTTGACGACAATGTGAAGTTGCCTTTTCTTGTAATTCTTTTAGCTTTGGCTGCAATTCTTGGAGCTGTGCCTTTTCTGGGAACGTACTGGGCGGCGATTCCTGCAGTTTTAGACTTGTGGCTCACCCAGGGTTTAGGCTGCAAGGCCATCTTGCTGTTGGTTTTTCATCTCTTGCCAACATACTTTGTAGATACTGCAATCTATTCTGATATATCAGGGTAAGTTTCTGAAGTTACGGGTGACTCATCCACACATTTGTATTGCTTGTTAAAGGTTCCTTCCTTCCTTCCTTCCTTCCTTCCTTCCTTCCTTCCTTCCTTCCTTCCTTCCTTCCTTCCTTCCTTCCTCCCTCCCTCCCTTCCTCCCTCCCTCCTTCACTCCCTCCCTCCCTTTCTCCTTCCCACCTTTTTTTTTTGTGGGAGGTGGGATGAGTAGAGTTGGGGGAAAGAACTGGGTGGTAGGATTTTCCAGTAAAGTAGCTTCTTTAATTCTTTCTCAGATAATGAAATTTTAAACTAAAACAATGTACAAAGTGTATTTTATTATTGTATATTATTTATGATATATCAAACCCTGAGTCAAAACAAAATTTTGAATAATTTTTCTTGGTTTTTTTGTGGCATTTAACCTAGGAAAGAAATACCACATACATAAAATACTTGTAATTACAGTAAAGAGTTAGTAGTTATTTCTTGCCTTTAAAGAAATAAGATTGAGAATATGGGTCTGAGAAGTTTCATGTAAAACCAAATCTCACTAAATTAATGCATGACAAGCAGAGCGCCTTTCTGAAATAACACAGTTAAAATTTTAGTGAGAATTAAAATTGGACCATAAAATAATTTTTGTATATTTTGATCACTTTTAGGAACTAGTAAATCAGGTCATTTCTGAATTAGTTATATACTCAGATTCACATTGCTTATTAGAGTTAATTTGTAACAAAGTGTTGCATTTTGATCTGCTACTTAAATTTAGAATATGACCTATTGAAACTGTGAAAATAGTTAATAAACTCAGCTTTTACTTTTTAAATATTTCAGTTTTTATTTTTCCTCTCCATTTTTCCTTCTCTTCCCTTTTCCTTTTTTCCTTTACCCATTTTCTTTTCCCTTTGCCCTTTCCCTGCTTTTTCCTTTTGAGACAGTCCTGTATAGCCCAGCATTAAACCCTCCGTTCTCCTGTGTCAGCCTCTTAAGTGTGCATCACCATGTCAGCCTCATTCTTTAAGTAAAATTAAAGGTAGAGTAGGCTGGGATGCTTGCCTAGTATGTAGGAAGCCCTGGGTTTGATTCCTCAGTACCACCTGAACAGAAAAAGCCAGAAGTGGTGCAGTGGCTCACATGGTAGAGTGTTAGCCTTGAGCACAGGTATAGTGCTCAGGTACAGTGCCAAGGTCCTGAGTTTAAGCCCCAAGACTGGCAAAACAAAAACTAGAGTAGACGAGGTTAAAATTTATAGAGTAGTACTCTTGATAATTTAAATTATTGTAAAGCTATTAGTGTACCTAGTTTTCTCTCTTGTGGATTATATAGAAAATAACTGATTTTAGAACAACTAAGCCCCAAAGTTGCAGGGCAAAAAGAAATAAGCAGCTCCCCGAGCTAGTCATATGGAAAATTGTATGCTAAAACTTGAGAGAGAACCTTAGAATTAAATGGGGAAAACTAGGGTTAAGTATGGTGGTATGCACCTGTAATTCAAGACAGGAAGGTATTGCATTCAAAGCTAGCCTGGGCTACATAGTGACCTAGTGTCAAAGGAGAGAAGGAAGGAAGAAGAGAGAAAAGTAGGCACCAGTGTGATTTACTGATGTTTAATTGTTTAAAATTTAATAGGAGAAATGCATATATACTTTATACTTAGTATCTTTTGCATAAACTTTGCTAAAGTTTATAGCTAGAATTAATAAAATAATAAGAGTCATTATGAAAAGTTTAGGCACTGGTGGCTCATGCCTGTAGTAGTTAATCTTAACTACTCAGGAGGCTGAGATCTGAGGATAGAAGTTTAAAGCCAGCTGGGGCAGGAAAGTTCATGAGATTCTTCTCTCCAATTAACCACTAGAAAACTGGAAGTGGAGCTGTGTCTCAAAATGGTAGAGTGCTAGCCTTGAGCAAAAGAGCTCAGGGACTGGATTCAAGCCCCATGACTGACAAAAAAAAGAAAAAGAAAAGTTTAGTTTCAACTTTTTGTTTTTTATTTTATTTTCAATATATTAAAACGTATTTTTATACTAAATATTTAAAAGCTCCCATACTTTTTTTTTTTTTTTAAAGCTTTAAGCATTTTTGATAATTTTCCTGAAGTATACTATTTAGGGAAAATGTTTACAAACCAAATATAGAGTGCTGACTTAAATCCTTTTTTGTAATGAGAAAACAAATTATGAACAGAATATATTTGTTTCCTGAAGACCGGCTCAACTCAGTGTTACTCATTAAACTATAATACAGTATCATACATCCTTCCTGAGTATTTGGTTATTTGTTCTTCATTAAGTTGTTCCAGTCATCTGTGTCATTTAAAAACTAGTAACAAACAGAACATGGCTTATTTCCTAGTCCTTCTTACGTCAGTGGGGTTTGTGTCTTACCAGTATGTCCTTCTTCATAATGTATTTTATCTCATTCCGGTTATGTAAGTGGTACTGTGATAAGCTACAGGGCAATTATGACTCTTTTATGAAATAAAAACCTCAGGCTTTATTGACAACTGTCTCCCTCTTGAGATTTTTTATCATTGCCTGTGCTGAAAACTATAATTTTAGAAGGTTGCCAGAAGTCTAAACAATGAATAACAAGAATGTTGCTGTGGTTATTATCTTGTTTTAAAAAAAAACATAATTAACTGAATTACATACTAAATTGTGTCCACTTAATTATCTTTGATGGAGATAAACCCAACAGGTAACTTATGTAACTAGTCTTTAGCAGCATTAATTTTCCTCAGGAAACTATGTGCAGTAGGTATAGAGCCCACTTTATTCTTTTAGTTGTTAGACTTATGAGGAGAGATGGATATTACACATTGGTACACAGGCAAGAAAAATCATTCGATCTCAAAATTATTAGAATATTTTGTCATCTGTACTGAGGTAATCTAAAGAAAGATAAAGGCTCGAAAGGTGGCTCAGTGGTAGAGTGCTTGCCTTGCATGCATGAAGCCCTGGGTTCGATTCTTCAGCACCACATAAGCAGTAAAAGCTGGAAGTGGCGCTGTGGCTCAAGTGGTAGAGTTCTAGCCTTGAGCTGAAGAGCTGAGGGACAGCGTCCATGCCATGCCCAGAGTTCAGGCACCACTATCAACCAAAAAAAAAAAGACAATAATGGAACTGGGGTGGGTGAGGGAGGGAGGGGTTGGGGACCACGGTGTATTAGAAAGTTATTTCAGATTTTCTCTAGTGACTATATTTAAAAGTGTCCTTTTTATTCCAGAGGTGGCCATCCTTACCTGACAGGCTTGGCAGTGGCTGGAGGAGCATACTACCTAGGCCTGGAGGGAGCCATCATTGGGCCTATACTTCTCTGCATACTAGTAGTTGCTTCCAATATCTACAGTGCCATGCTAGTTAGTCCTACAAATTCAGTGCCCACACCAAACCAGACTCCATGGTCTGCTCAGACTCAGCGGTGAGTTCAAACAGAATGATTATAAACCATATGTAATACTCTGTTTGTTAAAGTAAATATCTTCATCTAGATTTGTCATGATAGTGATATTTGATTATTAATGCTGTGTAGAAGATACTGAATAAATAGAAATTGTTTACAGACACTTACCAGGAAAAATTTAAAATTGTATTGAGTGGTTTTAGTATCATATGATATTTGGCCCTTGGACCACCTGCCCCCTGGTCTTAAAGAGGCCTTCTAGATCAGTCCTCAGAGGATCCCTAGACAGGCTGCTTCTGAATTGATACCCTTAAATCAGCAGAAAGTAGCAAGATAGATTGTCACCCATGTTCCTTAACCAGCAGTTAGGGTTACCTCTACAGAGTGGGTATTCTGTTACACCATGACCATCTCTAGCAACAGTGATGCGGGGTTAGTAGAAAGGCAAACAGGGAATTGTGACTTAGACAACTTGCAAGCAGTAGGTTAAACTAATAAACTAAAACCTGCCTGACAATGACATGGGGACAGGCGGCTGCAAAAGGGACAAGGACATGTGGAACAAGGACAAAAGAATGGAAAAAGTGAAAACAGGTGGTCAGGGAATTTATGGCCCATGGCAGAATAAACAAACCTTCCTGTCAAGAACAAAATGGGGGCAGGTGGCCACAACCTTGTAGGAACAGAAAGGAGGCCACCAATCAGAAAACCATCTAATCCTCACTATTAAACCTGGGCCAAACTCTGAAACAAAAGAAATGGTGGAAGATAGCCAAGAAGGCAGATGAACCATGTACTCTCTCTTCTAATAACCATTCTTAACACCTTTAAAACATAAAAATAAGAGAGATTAGAAAACACCAGGTTCCTTCCTTTCCAGTGAAATTGAAGTCATTGACAAGTTCTCACCAGATATTTAATGAAACTACTTTATGTTTTTGCTTAAAATTCATTAAAAACATGACTGCTTATCTTATTTTAGATATACAGTTTGTAAAGAGAGACATCTTTTAACTTAGAACAAATCAAATAGTTTCTGAGAACAGATGAAGAACATAGGTAATTTTGAGAAAGGCTGCCATTTGGAGGGTGTAGTACTAGGATATTCTTTCTTGCCTTTGAAGTATTTCACCACATAAGTCCTTGAACTTAGTGTATATACAGCCCAGGCTGGCTCTGAATGCTAGGATTATAGGTGTATGTTACTATGCCTACTTTGTCTTTCCCTCTTTGATAAAGGCAGGTGGTTGAGTCCCTAATTAGCTAAAGGACAGTTATTTCAAAGCAATAGAGAATGTGTGGTAACGATGTCTTTTTTTCCATGGCTTACCAAATAAGAAGAAAAAATTGGTTAATGTTTTGTTATTTTAGGGAGAATAAACTTTGAATGATTCTAAGTTAGAAATTTTTGTCAGAAACCAGTGGCTCAAGCCAGGTGCTGGTGGCTCAAGCCTGTTATCCTAGCTACTCAGGAAGCTGACATCTGAGGACCATGGTTCAAAGCTAGCCCCAGCAGGAAAATCCGTGAAACTCTCCCCTCCCCCCCTCCCCCATGAGACTCTTACCTCCAATGAAAACCGGAAGTGGCACTGTGGCTCAAGTGGTAGAGCACTAGCCTCCCAGGCTCAGAGTTCAAGATGCATGCCTGACCCTCCTCCCCCTGCCCCCTCCCCTCAAAAAAAAAGAAACCAGTGGTTCATCTGTATAATCTGAGCAATTTGGGAGGTGAAGATTTGGAAGATTATGTTCAAGGCCAATCTGGGCAAAAGAAGTTAGCAAGACCCCGTCTTAACAGAAAAAGCTGGCTTGATAATACACACTTGCCATCCCAGCTGAGTGAAAGTGTAAATAGGAAGATTATATCTGGCCAGCTGCAGCAAAAAGCCAGAATCTCTCTCAAAAATAACTGGAAGAAAAAGATTTGGAGGCACTAACTTAAGTGGTAGATTGCCTGTCCATCACACACCATGCCTTGAGTTCAAATCCTAGTGCCTTCCCCACCAAAAAAGTTAGTCTTTAAGATGAAACAAAAGAAGTGAATATAAATTCTCTGAAGGGCGAAAGACCTCATTTCCTTTTCTCCATTCTAAAAATATATAATCAGGTGGTGTGGGGGTCGGGAAAAGATATTATGAGAAACAAGGCCCCCTCTTTGGAGGCTATGTGGTTGAAAAAATACAAAGTTTCTACATTGTGGAAATTTTCTGTGAAAAATAAGTTTTTCCCCCTTTCCCTTTTCTTTTCTTTTTTGGGTCCGGTCGTGGGGCCTGAACTCTGGGCCTGGGCACTGTCCCTCAACTCTTCAGCTCAAGGCTAGCGCTCTACCACTTGAGCCACAGTGCCACTTCCGGCTTTTTTCTTTTTGCTTATGTGGTGCTGAGGATTCAAACCCAGGGCCGCATGCATGCAAGGCAAGCGCTCTACCACTGAGCCACCTTCCCAGCCACCTTCCCAGTCCCTCCCTTTCCCTTTTCTAAGAGAAAACTCATCTGACAAATATTTTGGCACTCACCTTCATATCTTGATACAATGTGGAATGTCTGCATTATCATCATGAGTAGAAGTCATCTTTTGAGTTCCTACTTGAAAGATGAGCCAGCTTTCACTGCTTTTTTTTTTCTTTTTCATTCTATGGTCTGTGGAATACTGTGGATCAGTACTGAGTTAGATGATGTTTATATTTGAGTCTTCTTGTGTGCTGCTTCCATCTTTTATTTTTTGTTGGGGGGGGCAATACTGGAGTTTGAACTTAGGGTCATGAACTTGCTGAGCAGGCATTGTCACTTGAACACTCTATCACTTAGGTACTACTTAGTTGGGTCCTTTGATTAGGATCTGAAAAGGCTTCAGTCAAGATGTTAGTCTCTCTTGTTGATAAAATTAATTTTAGACCTGAGGCTCACATCTCCTAGCATATGCCTTCCTTCATAGCAGTTCATGATTTTTTTTTTCTCTTCAAAGTGAAAATGTATTTTTCTAATTTCTGTATCTGATTTCTACTTTTTTTTTTTAAATAAAGAACTTGGCCTACCTTGCACAATCTCTCCTTTTTTGGCTCGAGACTACTGATTCATCAGGAGTGTTTATTATACCTACAAAATCTTTTCTCCTATGCCATTTAACAAAATCATAAAATCACGAGTAGTGGCTCAAGTTGTAGAGTGAGTGCTTGCCAATGACCTGTCTTGGACAACAAAAAATAATCATGAACTAACATAATTATGAAATCAGATGGTGAAGAATTTTAGTTCTTGGCTCCTGTTAAGATTAAGATATGGGGCTGGGAAGGTGGCTCAGTGGTAGAGCGCTTGCCTTGCATGCTTGAGGCCCTGGGTTCGATTCCTCAGCACTACATAAGCAGAAAATAAAAAGCCAGGGGCTGGGAAGGTGGCTCAGTGGTAGAGCGCTTGCCTTGCATGCATGAGGCCCTGGGTTCGATTCCCCAGCACCACATAAGCAAAAAGAAAAAAAAAAGCCGGAAGTGGCACTGTGGCTCAAGTGGTAGAGAGCTAGCCTTGAGCTGAAGAGCTGAGGGAGAGCGCCCAGGCCAGAGTTCAGGCCCCACGACCGACAAAAAAAAGAAAAAGCCAGAAGTGGTGCTGTGGCTCAAGTGGTAGAGTGCTAGCTTTGATCTGAAGAGCTGAGGGACAGCGCCCAGGCTCAGAGTTCAGACCCACGACTGGATCCCCTCCCCCTCCAAAAAAAAAAAAGAGTAAGATATGCAGAAGTTGTAGGTGGGTTGTATGTAACTCTAATAGAATCTGTCAGGACCATTGCTTCTTGTAGTTCTGATGTCAGTGATGTTTAGTCCTCTTTGAGGCTGGTAGTTGCTCACAGAAAAGACCTAATCTCCAGACTAGAGCTTGAAAACCTGGGTGCACTTATCAGGGACCCAGGAGGGAGAGGGATGGGGCTGATTGTATACAACATATATAAATGTTCCCTTACTCTTCCTGTGTCAGCCTGTCTCCACGCACCCTCCCCTCCCCCCAATCTCCTATTGATGTTCCCTAGTCCAGAGAGTTTTGCTTTCACCTTCTCTAAAGAGAAGACTAGTTTTCTGTCACAGTGCGGAGAAGGGACACTGCTTATCTGGCAGAAGTGATGAGGCAGGGGAAAGGTGATGTGTTATGCTTTGCAAGCAGACTGTAAAAAGCAGTCCTCTGTTTAGTCCACTTTCAGACTTACTTCCTGTCACTAGTTCCCAAACTTCTTAGGAATTTTGCTGATTAGATCAGACTGTGTTTAGGCTTTTCTCACCATTTGGTTTAGGATTGAGCTTTTATAGATAGGCAAAATCATAGCATTTGTCTGTGTAAAAGTTCGTTGCTCTTGCCTGTTGTTTAGGTCCACCCTCTCCTAGCTGTATACGTACGCTTTTAAAAAATACTTTTACTGGCATTCTAATGGTGTTTTCAAAGGGCCTAAAGGAAATGTGTGTTCGGTGCATCACTCTTTAATGGAAGATTTGGATGAACTCTAAGTTAAATAAACACAACCCTTTTAACCTTTATTGGGAGTAACTGTATGCTAAGTCTTATGATAAAACTTTACGTGTTGTTTTACTTAATCTATCCAATGTTTTTGCAGAAGGGTGGGAACTGTTGTTTCCCCTGGTGTTTACATGAGAAAATGGAGGCCTCGCCATCTTGCCCATAATCACATAACTGAAAAGCTCACAGGCTCATGTGTTTCATCTAATGTTCTCTCTCTGTTTTTGTCTTTGAACTATCTACCCAGAGAAAATCATTTTCTTCAGCATTCCTCCTGCTCACTGTGGCAGTCTGGCTGTGCTTGTTACTTCCCAAGTCCTCGTTCACCATCTTTATTCAGTGCTGCCAGTTTGACCTCACTGCTGTCCTTGCCTGTTTACTGCCAGTGCCACCCAGGGTCTGAGCCAGCCAAGTCTCTGGCACTTCTCATGGGACTGTTGTAGTCACCCGAGTCTTCTGGCTGTCCCTCAGCCCCGTCTCCCTCTGTTGTCCAGTCCATTCTCTACCCTGAGGCTCATGTGGGCT